GTGACGTGCACAGTGGAGTTTTCAGTGTCTTGGAAATGCAGCGTTCCCTCTTTTTTGTCCTGTGCCCCAAGCACATGACAGCGGGCTTGTGAACTATTTGGAGGACACAGCTCCCTGGTCCTTCACCGTCCTGGTCTCAGAGGGAAAGACCAGAGAGTTCCTCGCTGGGGTGAACCCTTCAGACTTTTCCCAGGACCAAGTCATGTTTTCTTTAGTCTGAACTCAGGGTTCCGGCCGGTGGGAACCCGACTTGACAGGGACGATGGAGGCGCCTGTGAGAAATGCAGGGCTGGGGTCCAGACCCTTGTGTCCCGCCCTCCACTCCGCTGCCTGCTGGCCCTCCTCCTCCTCTGACTTCACTCGTCCCTGGCTGTTTTTTTTTTGGTTGTGTGTGTGTGTGTGTGTGTGAGGTTAAACTAAAATTTGTGTATTGATTGAAAGGTTTCAGACGGAAACCAAGAACCATGCCGCCATAGAGAGAGAAATCGTCTCAGAGTTTCTTGCTGACCGGGCTACTCAACCTGGGGAGTAACCCTGAGGGTTGGGCTCAGGGTGTCGTTGCAGCGGTCAGTGGTGATGCATCGTTTGTGGTCTTGGGGAATGTCCTGACTTTGGATTTCTGAGTTGAGCTTCCACCTCCTAACATTGCCACCTTTGGGGTGATAGGGGGTGACGAGCTCTTCTGGCTGCTTCGTGCTGGCGAGGTTTAAGGGAGGTGGGTATGTGATACCATCTCATTTGGAGGGAGTGGTGTCTACGTCATCATGCTCAGTTCACTGATGGTTTCATTGGGAAGTGTGCCAAACGGCTTCTGTAAAAAATGAATGCCGATTTTGAGTCCACATGGCCCACAGGTTAATGCAGCATTGAACAGTAGCCTAAGAAGTACAAAAGGCAGTAGCTGTCCCACCATTGAAGGGAGGGTCTGATGGAGAAGACAGTATATGGATTTGAAATTACTGGTTGTACGAAATTGACGTCTCAGAGATCTTGCACTAGGCAGTATGTGCCATCTGGTTTCTTTACTGGAAGGATAGGATTGTTGTCAGGAGAATCAGTGGGAATTAAAATACTGGTTTTAAGGGTTATAGTGTGTTTCAGTCCTTGGAGATCTCCTGTTCTGATGAGGTCCTGGGAATGCATGGACAGGAGGCTTGGTCCTTTAATTTTAATAGGAGTGTGATATGTGGCTTGATGGGTTAGAGGTATCCCTAACTATAGGATCAACTTGATGGGATGACAGTGGGGAAAGTGGAGGTGGAGGGAGAGCTTTCTTCGAGAGGTAAGCAGAGAAGAAAGTTGTATTGGACTAGGGCTGGGGGTGAGGGTGAGGTTTATAGAAGCTTAAAGTTTGCTCAAAATATCTCAGCCTAGAAGGGGAGTGAGGCACTGCGGTATGACGAATTGATGAGTAAACTGTGTATTTTTTAAATAAGCGTCATGAGGGAAGAAGAATGCATGGGCTGTTAATTTGCCTGTGACTCCCACTATGTTGGTTTGAGAGAGAATAGTAGACTATATTAGGAGAATTTGATTGAGAGGAGCTCTGGTCAAAAATAGGTCCTGTTTTACATGCTGAGGGAAACAGGACAGCCTCGACTGAGGGCCAGTCCTGACTGGGGCGGGTGATAATCCAATCTGTAGCGGATGGTCTGGTGCACACCCAGTGGGAGGACCACTGTGGGTTCGCTTGGAAAAGCAGTGAGGCAGGATGATGCCTGATAGAAAGCGTGAGAGCGTTCGGAGAGACAGTTTCAGTGATTGTTACAGAAAAGATGAGGAGGAACGGAAATTTCATATGTAGAGAAGGAATAAACAGGCAGAAAGTATAAAAACGATATTTGGTCAGAGGTAAGGTCTTGGAGAAACCAGTGCTTGAGGAGAGCAACGGATCTATAGTGTAGAGAGGGTTCCTAGGATTGCGTTCAAAAGTCCATTTAGTCATGAAAACGAAGACAGACAGAGTGGAGAAGCTCATTAGAATTGGATTGCACTGGAGTCTGGTTCTAAAGATATCTTCCTGCTGTATGAGTTTGAAGGAGAGATATTTTGTGTTGACATCCTGGATATTTGTGGAAAAACTGTTCAAATATATAACATTGTAATCAGCAATATGGTCATTCTATTAGACTATTATTAAATTATTATTATTATTATTATCATTATCATCATCATTGCCTCAGTAGAAATTGCCAAGGTCTCTGAGAGTGTTGAACACGGGTGTTTCATTTTAGGGCTTTTGAGACCTATTATTGATATTGTGGCTATGCCGTGTTCTTGCAATAAAAGTTATCAAGGTAGCAGAGGAGACACCTCCAGTGAAGGGTGAGGGTACCCAGAAGGACAGATTGGCTGGCTCTCATGATAGGGTAAGTATTGGGAGGGTCAGAGAGAGAGAGACAGAGATAGGCACACAGAGATAAAGAATGAGAGAGAAAGAGAGACAGACAGATACAGAGAGACAGACAGTGAGACACACAGAGAGAGAGAGAGAGAGAGAACGAGCCATAGATAGCCCGGACCGGAGGGAGGGAGAGACAGACAGACACAAAGAGAGAGACAGCAAGGGAGACAGACAGAAATAGAGAGCGAGAAACACAGTGACAGAGACACAGAACAGAGCGAGAGAGAGAGCCAGACAGACAGAGAGATACAGAGAGGAACTGAGAGAGGCAGAGACACAGAGTCAAGACAGGGAGAAGCAGACACATAAAGACAGCAAGACAGAGTCAAAAATAGAGACAAAGAGAAAGAGTGAGAGACAGACCAACAGAGCAAGAGACAGAAACATAGAAACAGAGAAGGGCAAGAGACGAAGACAAACACAGAAAAAGAACAAGACACAGAGAGAGTGAATGGGACAGAGTCAGACAGAGACACAGAGAGATGGAGACAGCAAGACACACAGAGATGGAGACAGAAACACAGCGAGAGCAAGACACACACAGTGAGCGAGTCAGAGAGAGAGACAGAGACATACAGAGAAAGAAACAGACACAGAAAACGAGAGGGAGACAGACTCAGAGGGACAGAGACAGCGAGAAAGAAACACTGAGACAGACACAGAGAGTGACAGACACAGAAAGAGCGAGACAGACACTGGGACAGACAGAGCAAGAGACAGAGGGACACAGAAAAAGAGAAAGCGACAGTGACTGAGACAGAGAGAGACAGCAAGAGAGAGAATGAGACAGACACAGAGTGAGGCACAGAGAGACAGGGACAGCGAGAGAAGAGACAGTGAAAAAGAGACAGAGAGAGAGAGGCAGAGACAAATGGAGAAAAAGACACAGAAAGCACAGAACGGAGACAGTGAGAGACAGACAGACAGATGGACAATGACAGAGGCAAAGAGCACAGAATAAAGACAGGAAGAGACACAGATACAGACAGAGCTAAAGACAGGAGACAGAACACAGAGAGACAGAGCAACAGAGACACAGCTAGAGACAGAAACAAAGAGCGAGAAATAGAGCAAGACAGAGACAGAGAGCAAGAGAGAGAAACAGACAGCATGTGACAGCGAAAGAGAGGCACAGAGATACAGAGGCAGAGCGAGTGAGAATGACAGGAAAAGAGAGTGACAGACAAAGAGATAATGAGAGAGAGAGCACAGAACTCCAGAAGACAGAGACAGTGAAAGAGACACAGAGAGAGCCAGAGACAGCACAGAACAGAGAGACAAAGTGAGAGCCAGAAGGTAAAAACAGACAGAGACACAGACAGGCAGAAAGAGAAACAGCACAGAACAGAGAGAAGCAGAGACAGAGAGCACAGGACAGAGACACAGCCAGACAAGGAGTGAGAGACAGAAAAAGAGGGAGACAGAGACAGAGATACAGAGACAGCAAGACAGAAACAGACACAGAGAAAGACACACAGAGCTGTCTCTCATAGGGTCATGTCGGGGTTAGTGTTAGTGTGTCACGGACAGTGAGATCGGCTTAGGCTGGAGCAGGGTTCAGAGCTGTCTGGTGTAGGGTCATATGAGAGGGGTGGTCTCAGTGTGTCACAGATAATGAGATCAGCTTAGGATCAAGCAGTGTTCAGAGCTGTCTCATGCAGGGTCACTGTAACAGGAGTGCTCTCAGTGTGTCAGACAATGAGGTTGGCTTAGGCTGGAGCAGGGTTCAGAGCAGTCTCGTGTAGGGTCCTGTGAGGGGTGATGTCTCAGTGTGTCACAGGCAATGAGATCATCTTAGGATCCAACAGGGTTCAGAGCTGTCATGTGAGGGGCAGTGATCTCCGAAGAGGTCGCACAACAGCAGCTTCTGTTCTTGCAATCTGGGTTGTGGTCCACGCATCTATCATCAAGAAAACCGCATCCACGGGAGGGTCACGCCCTTTTCCCCAGATGACTGAGAGTGTAGAGGAAACAAAGGATCCCCAATCCCAGTGTTTTTTAGAATTTAGCTTGAGGATGTTTAGGGCTGTGTTTCTGCCCGGAGCCGTTTTTATGAGACACCGGGGTTCGCAGCCGCCGGAAGCGGAAGTGGCCCGACTCCGCGTGGGCTTTGCTGCGGATCTGGTCTTACTGGGCTTCTGGCCGAGTTTTCTTTTTCTTTATTTTTTCCCTCCACGTTGCTCGTGAATGAGGAGAGGGTGAATACAAGCTGTGATGGTGCAGAAGCAGGCCTCCCGCCACTCGGTGCGTTTCCGCTGTGTCCCGGCGACCCGGGCCTGACTCCCGGCGACCCCGGACCTTCCTCCCGTCGCGATCCCCTCTTCCTCCCGGCACCCCCGGCCTAACCCTCAACGACCCTGCTCAAATCCCGGCTTCCCCCTTCCTCCCGGCGCGCCTCGGCCTAACTCCCGGGGGTCCTGCAGGCGACCCCGGCCTGACTCCCGATGTCCCCGGACCTTCCTTCCAGCTGCCCCCTTCTTCCCGGTGCCCTCGACCTGACTCCCGGCGCCCCCCCCTGACTCCCGATGTCCCCGGACCTTCCAGCGCCCCCGACCTGACTCCCTGCACCCCGGGACCTTCCTCCCGATGTCCCCAGATCTTCCTTCCAGCGCCCCCGACCTGACTCCCTGCACCCCGATCTTCCTCCCGGCTGTCCCCTTCTTCCTGGTGCCCTCGACCCGACTCCCGGCGCCCCACCCCCGAGTCCCGATGTCCACGGACCTTCCTCCCGGTCGCCCCCTTCCTGGTGCCCCAGGCCTGACTCCCGATGTCCCCGGACCTTCCTTCCAGCGCCCCCGACCTGACTCCCTGCACCCCGCGACCTTCCTCCCGGCCGCCCCCTTCTTCCCGGTGCCCCTGGCCTGACTCCCGGTATCCCCAGACCTTCCAGCACCCCCGGCCTTCATCCCGAGCCTTGCAGTCCTCCTCTGCCGCTTCCCTGCACGCTGGTTGTCATAGAATTGGAGCCGAGTCACTGTGTGTACAGAGCTGTCAGTCACACGGGAGGCCGTTCCCTGCACTGACCTTCAGACTTGCTGCCCACACACCCCACCTGCACACCACGACACGGGGGGGAGGGGGGGCACCACACCACGACACTGGGGGGAGGGGGGGCACCAGTGAGGTGAGGTCATCCCTACAGGTGAAGTCACACGATTGAAGCCAGAACCCACCTTCCTCCTCGTTCACTGAACATGCTTCCCTCTCCAGGCTCTCTTTCTGGTCTCAGGGGTGATTCAGGCACACCTAGTCCAGGCAGCTGAGGACCAAGAGGGACCTCGAGCCCCTGACCTTGTCCATCTGCCTCCAGATGACCCCCTTGTCTTCTTCTCCTAGGCTGAGCTCTCCTCCTGAAAGGACATCTTGGCATTAGCACACACATTTCCTTAGCGCTGCAGAAAGGAAACAAGGAAATATGGTGATTCCTGCAGAAAAAACACCTTTCAGCTGCAAATGCATGGCTTTGGGTAGAAACTCTTGGGGGACACATTACAACCTGTATGCCTGCAGTTTTCCAGTAAGGAGAAAGGCAGGAGGCTTCTAGAAGAATCCTTGGAGACACCCTCATTGCCTATTCCCTTAATACTTGACCCTTTTACTGTCCACACACTAGCATGATGGGGATATCTAGGGTCACTCTCCTTAAATGTTCACAGACCTGGCTGCAGGAGCTGTTATTTATTAACCAAGGCCTTGCTTCTCCACCTTTAATGACAAAATCTCCGGCTCAGAATCCAAAGATGGTCCAGCCGAACCTTACCTGTCATTTTCACATTCTCTTTATGTTGTTGTTCATTCTTTCTTTGTTTACCCAAGTGAAGCGTATTCTATGTTTTTAGACCTTTCGGTGTGGGGAAAGATTCAACAGGGATTCTGCTGCCTTGCCCTTTCCTTTCCACACAGGCTGGGAGCTGATGTCTCCCCTGTATTTTCATTCTTGTTCGTTCTGTGCCCTCCTCACTGGAAGCTCTGCAGAAATCATCTGTGAGCAGTGCTTTGTTCTCGAAACCAAAGCAGGCTCTTTGCTGGTCATTGACATGCCCACATGTTCAGTGAGTGAGTGATAGACAGTCTCTGCTAGTGCACCTTAACACCCTCAGCAGAGCTTTGGCACTATTGATGATTTCCTCCTGGACGACAATAAGTCAACTGTAACAATTATTATGTTACAGTAGAAAAGTCAAGTTCATTTTTCCTGGAGGAACTACTGGAAATACGGAAATTTAACGTCTTGAGATAGTTTTCATGTAAATCTGCTTTGTAGATCATTTGATATATTTTTAGTGAGAATCATTTTTCCATGCCTCCCTCAGTATCTTGTTTGTTTGAATTTCCAGCTCTGTCCCTGAACTGATTTTGGCACCACCTTCCTTTATGTCCTTCCAGCGTCATTCACACCATGTTGCATGTTTCTGGTGCCGTGGTAATTTAATGGTATTTTTCCTCCGTTGACTAGGAATGGCAGTGTCTTTCTGTGGTATTTAGGATACTAAGGAGTTACCCAGATTATCCGAAAATTAGCTCTGTGTCTGTTCAGCTGCCCTCTAGTGTCACGGAAAAGCTGTGTGAATCAGGATTATAAGGAGTTAGGGGAAGGAGAGAGAAAGCAATCTCATCTCAAAATGCTGATAAGACCTGCTGTTACTTAGAGCCAGATTCAAAGATTTCCTCTCTGTGGTTTCACCGGCTGGGAGATAACAATATTTTTAGAGGTGGAACCTGAGTCTTTCAGAATCCACAAAAGCCTCATGCTTTGTCCTGGACGTTAGTCGTGAAAGCCACTTAGTGTGTTTCTGGTAGCATGTTGAGGATGGCACTTATCCACATTATTCTCATGGGGCCCTTTGATCATCAACCAGTCCCTCTTAACCTGCATGCAGCTCACCCGTATTCTGATCTTTAGTCTGTTTTGCTCTATTTATTTAGAATCAAAACTGACTCCTAACTCCCTCTCTACCTGGGTTAGAGAGACAGACTCACCAGAGAGGAGATTGGTCACCTTTCTCCTGTGACTCAGCAGATGAGTTCAAAATATCTACCTTTATGTTGGCAGGGTCACTTCTTACCACTAGATGGCTAAAGGTCCCTTGTTGTTGTAGTCACCTGTTGTCATCAGCATTTGGTATCAGAGTCCTTGAGAAGTATACAGTATCAGGATCCTGGATTTGTGGACTAGATCCACAAGTATAAATGCTCTGATCCTGTGGAAACTTGCAAGGCAGTGTGAGAGGCTGATTTCATTGCCTTCCAGATCCTTACCTAAAGTTCATGACTGATAGACATCCGTCTTTACTGGAAAAGCACCTGACAGGTTAGGAAGCCCTGTTAAAGAACAGCTAGTGGTTTTTTTTGTTTTTTTTACCCAGGACATCCCGTTGGACCAGGATGGCCAGGTTTGCTGCTTGGGGTTTGCCCGGCATATAAACCTTCCAGAGGTTAACTCAGGAAAGGGTCCAAACTTCATGGTACATGACAACATGTTATTTCTCCACATTGGTCACATTCAGCACTGTGTGCACTTATCCATAGGGCAAGTCCTGATTGTGTCTCAATCATCACATCGCCTCCATTTGTGTTTGAGAGGGTTAATCACTGTAATTACTGACATTTTCCAGTTGTGGGGCATTTGGATTCCCTGTGACCCTTCTCACTTGTTGTCGTTGTTGTAATGTGCCATCGAGTCATTTGTGACTCATAGCGACCCTATGTACAAGAGCTCTAAGTGCTGTTCTATCCTGTGCCAACCTAGTCATCTCAAACGCACTTATTCCCACCGCTCCAGTCACAGAATCAATCCGTCTCTTCAAAGGTCTTCCTCTCCTTCGCCGTCCCTCCACTCTGCCAAACATAATGCCCCTCTCCAAGGACCAGTCCCTCCTTGCAACAAGCCCAAAGTATGTCAGACGAAGCTTCAGAATCCTTGACTCCAAGGAGCATTCCTGCTTCACCTTCTCCGGGACAAACCTGTTTGTTCTCCTAGCAGTCCATAGAATAGACAACACTCTTCTCCAGCACCACAGCTCAAAGACATCAATTCTCTTTCTATGATCCCTATTCACTGTCCAACTCTCCTATGCATAGCACGTAATTGCAAAGACTATAGCCCGGATGAGGTGCACCTTAGTCTCCAGCGTGACATCGTTGCTCTTCAGTACTCTTGAGAGGTCCCTCACAGCCGACTTTCCCAATGCAATTCGTCTCCTGATTTCCTGGCTGCTGTTACCAAGAGTGTTGACTGTGGAGCCAAGCAAACCAAAACTGTTAACTATCTCAGTCTCTTCACCATCCATCCTGATACTGCCAATTGGCCCAGGGTGAGCATCTTTGTCTTCTTGATGTTGAGCTTCAATCTCACCTATGCCATTTTTAAATATTATTAAGCTTTCTTTTCCAAACAGAAGGATGAGGTGAGGGTCAAAACAAACTGAGCAAACGTAGATAATGAAAATCTATAATTGACATGTGTGAATTTATAGTTTTTTCAAAAGAAGCTTTTTTTTCTCAGCACACGGATTTTTCACATTCTCTTCTTCTAGACCACACAAAAAGGTTGACCGTCTGATAACCGTGTATTGCCTTCTTTTTGTAGACTTTTGGGCTTCTCCTGTCTGTACGACATGCAAGAAGATACAGCCATTTTGCTGTGTTTCTGTGACGTTACTCTGTTGAGCTCCGTTCAGCGTGTAGTGTATGTTTTATCCACTGTTCTTTCAAAACAGATGAAATTGACTGTTTCCAACCTACTGATGTTCCTTTTTTCACTCACATTTCTACTTTGTGCTGCCTCCTTTGGGTTCTTGACCATCGAGTAATGTGTACATATGTTCACACAGCAAGTACCCCCAATGTCTTTATAATTCTTTCTGGTCTAAATAGTAGCAGAACAGGTATAAGAAGTGTCCAATCAGCATTGTCCCCCGTCCTTGACTATCAGTCCATGATTTTTGACACGGACAACTCTCTCCTTTATTTAAGAAGTGTGCAATCAGCGTTGTCCCCTGTCCTTGACTGTCAGTCCATGATTTTCGACACGGACAACGCTCTCCTTTATTTAATTGCCTAGGTCCTCTTTGTCTCTTGGGTTCGGATATTTGCTGCAAGGTTTCCCATCGACTTATACTTGAGGGGGATGATTTAACCTGACTGTAGGCATGCAGGGATGATTTTGTAGAAACTCGTGAACGACGGGCTAGAGTCCTGTAGACTCTCTGATAGGAAGCAGCTTGCTGGTGCCCATGGGTAATGCAGGCTGGTGGTGCAGAGAGTGGTGAGCAGTATGTCAGGCTGGATGCAGCCGGGTATCGTGCTCCAGGTGAGCAAAGGTTGCAAAGAGTGTCAGCCTAGAGGTCTCGTGAGCTTGTATGCTCCTGTCGTCGGTAGAGGCTTGTGTCCTGTCCGCCTCCTCTCCCCTTCATACTATAAAGACTAATGCCTAAAATAAATAAAAGTTAATGACTGGTTAGGAAAACCCTCTGAATGAGGCAGTGAATGTACCACGTGAAGGAACAGCGCTGAAATCTGATTCCCTGCGCAGATCTTGGTAGAAAACAGAACTTTGTCCTAGCAGTGTCATGTCTTGGCTTTATAAATCTGTCAGGCTCATTCGTCCTTCTTGTATCTGTGGGCCAACCTGGCACCTTGCTGATCCACAACACGTTGTGTGTTTTCAGGCGCCACTGTTGGTGGAGGACGTGGTCATCCTCTTCAGACAGAAAGAGTGGGCTTTGCTGACTGTGGCTCAGAAGAAACTCTACAGGGATGTGATGATGGACACCTTAAACAATGTGGACTCCATAGGTAAACGTAGCATTTTCTGTATTTGTGAATCTTTTCATGCATACAGCATTTATGCACAAACCTGACTTTGAATCTGTACTGAAGAATTGGAATGCAAACTTCTCTTAACACAGGCACGTTCCCTTGGCTTTTGGCACTCACGTATGCAGAATCACTCCTTCGTGTGAGAGTCTGCGTCTCCTAGGATATTTTATCTTCCTAGGATCACAGGAACTCCGGTGTACCCGTCAGCTTCATGGGTCAGAAGTGAGGGCAAAGTCTTTGGAGAAGTACGAATAGAACCCCTTGAGGGCCCCTGGGTTGGGAACCACTGTGGGATTGTGATTTTGCTAAGAATTGAGAGAGAACATTTTTACGTAAACCAAATAGACAAAGTCTGTTTTGGCTTGAGGAGACAATGGAAGGGATGATTGCATGTTCCTTTCTGCGTCTGCGTTCCTGTCCTGGATACACTTTTTATATTTTCCGTATCCTCTGTGTCCTACGAGATGTGATACTATGTATGTATTATGTGATCATAGGTGCATATATTGTGTGGCGTGTGAGTCATCTTTCGCAGAGGAAAGCTGCCTTTTAGATCACAATTCCTTTTATTTGCCCCAGAAGTGCTTCTTTGTGGATACTTTGTAACCGACTGGCGTGTCTGCTATTCATTGTTTCTTGTGGTAGTTTCTGAAGCCACTGTGTCTTGGATGACTGTCTGTGTGTCAGTCTAAAAGTACTGCTATAGAGAACACTCAGCGGGAAGTTTGCTGGAAACAGTCTCCTGGACAAGCACGGAGACGGACGTGTCCCAAGACAACAGGGTGTGTTTCTTTGACCTCACTAGACCCAGCAGAGTAGCTGTGAAGGCTTAGTTAATGAGAAAGTCCTTGAGAGTTTGCAAAAAATAGAGATACATTTCTTGTGTACTTGTTAGGATTTTCTGGACAAATCTATAAAGCTCTGATCTTTGGACACATTTCTTACAGGTCTCAGAGATAACTGTTGGCTATATTACTTTCAGATCCTTGAGATCATTGTTTCCTGTGTAGCAAAAAAGTCTGGCTCTTCTGATGGGAATGGAATGCTTGTATTTTCTATATATGCTGAGAAAAATAATAAACACTCAGGGCCTTGGGCTTTGCTTTGGTCCCCTGTGCCTTGGTTTTTCCCTTTGTCTGTCTCTGTTTTATATCCTCAGGTTCCAGCTGGTAAAACTGTTGAGTTTCATGTTGTCAGACTCAGTTTTATTTTTATGACAGGCATTGAAAACCTTGGTGATGGAGAAGCATTATCCCCTGCATGTACACAGCCGAAATCCTTTAAGACTCCACATCCTTGGCCTTCGCGGAAACTTACAAAATTCCATGGCAGAGAAGTTCTCCGTAAAAACCAAGATGACGATTTGAGGTGACTATCCTGCAGATTTAAGACAGAAGAACCTTGTCAGAAGCGTAGTCACTTGGAGACAGCCGTCAGGAAGTCTCCTGTGTTATGAAACTCAATTCCAGTGACAGTGTTTTGACTGGATTATGATGCGTCAGCCTCTGTGAGGGAAAACCCTTGTGTCAAGAGACATTGCTCCGTATTGTGGGTAAAATATACTTCCTCAGAGCTGCATGCATGTTGTGTTATTTTTTTTCCAGAACTCCAGTAGCAGAGCCGCTATCTGAAGGGATTGAGGACAGCCACCCTGGGAAAACCTTCATCAGAATTCCAAATCTTCCCTGCTCGCAGGGCAATCGTCTGCAGGTGAACCTGTGGAAGACGCCCATTGGTGAGGGTAGCTATGCATGTCACAAATGTGGACAACATTTCTGTACCTTCTCGTTATTTTGGATCCATGTGGTAGAAGAGCATGTATGGACAGAAAGCTCTCAAACCTATGTTAATCCTTTCCCTTTTGTTTCCTATAAAGCATGTACGTTTCCACAGAAGCTTTGTGAATCTACAGAAAATGGGAAACCCTTTCCTTATTCCTCTCACCCTACGAGTACAGCAGACATCACCTTAGATAGAAGACTTCCCAGTGGGGAAGAGCCTTATTCATGTAAGGTCTGTAGAAAATCCTTTCGTTCTTTCTCTTGCCTGAGCAGACATGCAAGAACACACAGAGATGCAAAGCCTTATGACTGTAAGCAGTTTGGAAACACATTTTCTGAAGCTGCTCCTCTTAGCATCCACGCAACAAGTCCCTTAGCTCAGAGACCTTGCAAAGGTGACAAAAGCCAGCAAGCATTTCTGCAGCCAGGTGACCTCACTCAGCATACAGTTCACACAGGAGAGAGGCCTGGTGAAGGGAAGGGACCTGGGGGGAAAACTGCATCTTATTTTAACCCGCTCACTGTACATGCAACAACTAACAGGGGAGAGAGACCGTATGAGTGCAAGGAATGTGGAAAAGCATTTCGGAAATCCGGTGATCTCTCCACCCATCAAAGAATTCACACGGGAGAGAGACTGCATACCTGTCAGGAATGTGGCAAACCCTTCCTGTATCCTGCTCAGCTCCGTTCCCATCTGAGAGTTCACACACGAGAGAAACCTTACATGTGTCAGGAATGTGGCAAATCTTTTTGGCGATCCAATCACCTCACCGCACATAATAGTGTCCACACTGGAGAGAGACTTTACAAATGTCAGGAATGTGGGAAACCTTTTTCCCGGATCGATCATCTCCGTAAACACACAAGGATTCACACAGGAGAGAAACCTTATCAGTGTAAGGAATGTGGGAAAAGTTTTTCTCATCTCACCAGTCTAACTGTCCATGGAAGAACTCACAGGGGAGAGAAACCGTTTGAATGCAAGGAGTGTGGGAAAACATTTTCTCTGCGTGTTTCTTTAACGGAACATGCGAGGTGTCACACAGGAGAGAGACCCTATAAATGCAAGGCGTGTGGGAAAACATTTTCACAGCTGAGTAACTTCCGTAAACATGAAAGAGTTCCGACAGGAAAGAGACCTCATCAGTGTCAGAAATGTGGGAAGATGTTTCCTGTGCGTGCGTGTCTCACTGAACATGCAAAAATTCACACCGGAGAGAGACCTTACGTATGTGAGCAATGCGGGAAAACCTTTTTAAGATCCTGTGAACTCGCAAAACATAGAGCGATTCACACGAGAGGGAGACCTTACGAATGTCAGGAGTGTGGAAAAACATTTTCAGAGTTTACTTCGTTGGGGACTCATAGCAGAATTCATACAGGAGAGAGACGTTATGAATGTCAGGAGTGCAGGAAAACATTTTCACAGTCGGGTAGCCTTGTCCGACATCAAAGAATTCACACAGGAGAGAGACCTTATGAGTGTCAGGAGTGCGGGAAAACATTTTCACAGTTACCTTCTTACAGGAGACATAGCACGATTCACACAGGAGAGAGACCTTATGAGTGTCAGGAGTGCGGGAAAACATTTTCACAGTTACCTTCTTACAGGAGACATAGCACGATTCACACAGGAGAGAGACTTTACGAATGTCGTCATTGTGGGAGAGCCTTTTCACAATCAGGTAACCTTGTGAGACATAGAAAAATTCACACAGGAGAGAAAAGTTAAGCGCGTCAGCAAAGTGGGGAAACATTTTGCAAAAGCAAACACCTTCAGTGCCTATAAAAATTCACCCCCAAGAGAGGACTTTGGAAAATAAGGAAGGGAAGGGACGCTTTAGTGACCCTGTTACACACAGTACGTGTGGAGAGTTTATCCAAGTCAGACCAAAGTAGGGAATGTTGTCAGCATTTCCACAATCAGATGGCATCAGGACATGGCAAGGATTCACAAAACAGAGACCTCACGTGCAGGTGGGCAGGGGAGGACACAATCGATGTGTCCCTCAGTCCTCACAGCGGGAGATGTTTACCCCCACGCTGGAGAAAGGCTGCAGGAATGTCAGATATACAGGCATTGGGCGCCTTGCAATTTACTCCCGATTGGGAGATGGCTAAAAAAAGTAGGCCTCAATCAATCTTCCTTATCATGTTCCATAGGACACCTGTCATTCTATCTTGCAAAATCAGACGCTTGCTCAGCTTTTTATCTTTGTCGTGCATGTGAGAGTCATTTAGTGTTTGTTGAAGCTGAATCAGTTTTCATTAGTGCAAATAAGTTTTGCAAGCCGTGTCTATTGTTTTGTATACAGCAATGAATGAATGCAAAGTCGCCTTGTCTGTAAACTTTTGTTAAAATCAGAATTGAAACGTTTATTATGATAAAAAATATTTTCTTCCCTTCTTAGTTTCAAGTCAAAATTGTTCCTTCTTAAAGTTTTTCCACATTTCAAAGGCTTTGATTCTTGTAGTCTCTATTCATTGTCTCATTTTCAGAGACATCAGAAGGTCGTTCACCAACAAGTTTCTATCATCACAGAGAGGAGATAGTCCGTTGTTGTTGACCAGGACAAAGAATAAAAATGGGAACACCAGGAATGGGTGGGAGAAGGGAGATTGAAGCAAGGGGGGGCTAACAGCTCCAAGACCTGGAGCCCAAATCTCCAGCTTTTATGTAGAATTACCAGAAGTAAATCACAAAAAGGAAAAAAAAAATTCCTTATTAATGAAGCTATGTTTTTTTCAGCGACTATTCTTTTTTTATCTCGGCAATAGAGTGATTTACAAGCACAAGCAGTTGCTGTGCAGGGGTCTAAGGGTGGTATCTCCTTGTCTGCAGGGAGAGCTTCATTCCCTCTGAGGAATTCTGGCTTTTTTTCTGCCTCACTCAGGTCCTGTGGAAGCATTTGGCTCCCAACAATTCCCCCTTTTGTTTTAGTCATTATTTTGGATCTGAGCTTGTGATTTCAATATATCATCTGTAAGATTACCGTGATTCCTAATATGTTTCTTAACCCTATCACAATTTCAGTCTGTATCATTCCATTTTATGCAAGAACTCAAAACTGTAATACTCCAATCACAATTTTATTTGTCTCGGTCAAATAGTAATGTCATCTTTTATCAATACTATTCATTGTTCAAAATCTGTTCATCAGGTATTCAGTTCTAAATTTGTCTTTGAGAAGACCGTAACTTTTCAGAATTTTGTTACCCATGTTTTCACATAATCTGCAGTGTGAATACTTTGATATCAAACCACCCCAGCTGTCGTGCCTGTGGCAGTAACGGTGAAAATTCATAAAATTGCAGCAATAATTAATGAATTTTTTTGCTTTCTTTTTAAATTTTTTAAAAAATTTTACTATTTTCTCTCTGTGTCCCTTCAAATCAGACCTGACTGGTTCAGAAGGACAACAGCCTGTGGATTTGTCTTTTTGCTCTTTTTAACAATTCGATTGTTTCATGTTTTTTGTTTTGTTTTTTTCTTTTTTTAAATTTTTATTTTTTTATTTTATTACTTTTTTGTGTGTGTACCATCAAATCAGATCTGACTGGTACAGGAGGAGATGGTCCCTCCCTCTCCAGTAGAACATCTGATGGATTTGAACTGTGCACCTCTGAGATTGCAGTGCAGCTTCTTGCCACTAGGCCACCAGAGCTCCCTTGGATTGTTAAATGTTTTAAAATCACACTTTCAGCAGATGGTTGCCATTGTCTCTCTAATTTTACTGACAATTATAATCCAGTTTGGGATCTCAGTATATAAGTAATTTGATTAGATGATAAGATAATAGAGACATTTAAACAAGTGTATAACGAACAGTTTGAACACTATAATGTCAAAATCATAGAATCCCATCAAGGTGGACCTTACAAAAATACATAAGGTAAGGGGAGCTCTGGTGGCCTACTGGCAAGAAGCTGCACTGCAATCCCAGAGGTGCATGGTTTGAATCCACCAGATGCTCTGCCAGGAAAGGAGGGACAATCTCCTCCTGTACCAGTCAGATCTAATTTGACGGTACACTCACACAAAAATAATAATAAAATAAATTTTAAAAACATACATAAGTTAATGAAACACAGGCATGAATAGGTTTAATTTCTTTTAAATTTAAGGCTAGTAACATTGTTAGTATAACTTTGAATACTTTTTTTATCCAAACAGCTACATGTTTCAGTACAGTGCCTATTTTCCATAAATATTGTTGGTAAGAAAAATTACCAAGTAAAAAATTTTTGGTAACAAATACGGATCCCCCATTCACTCTCCAATCAATATCACTTCCATAGGAAATATTAATGAGAACTCATCTTTGTTCTCCTTTACATGGTTTCCAATATATCCATTCTCTAATGAAAGAATAAAAGGGCAAATGGCAGGGAGGAACCTCAAGATTACCTTGATCACCTGGTATTTCTATGAAAACCATTTGACATCCATGCCTTAGCTTCCATTTTTAAACAATGGAATTCATTCCCATGCATATGGCGGAAATAATCAGGTCCTACACTACAGTTGGAAAGTGGAGTACATCCTGACCCAAGTCTCTGGCATTGAAAATTTGCAGCCAAAAAGTTTATACAGTTTAGCGAAAAAAATTGCAGTTCTGGACAGTAAGCAGTTTATGAAGTACTACAATTATTTCTTTGTGAGTTATGACAGCAATGTTATTTGTGAAGAGACATGTAAGGCCTTCCAAATTTGTGCAATTATGAATCTTGATTATATTTCCTATATAGATTGTCTCAAAGAGTTTTATATACAGCACAGTCACTAATATTTTAAAGTTTGTGTTCATGGAAGTTGGTTTATTGCCTTGTTTCTGAGATAAATTCATAGACATTTTTATGCAAATCTTTGTGAATTTCTTCTGACAGGACTAGCAAAATTTCTTTGTTTTCTTTCCTTTTTAAGAAATGATGTCCAGCTGTGGATATTCTTTAAAATCTATTTTTATATCAAATATATTTAAATTACCTACTAGTAGAATTTGGAAGGTGGAGTGGCATCCACTTTGGTAATAGCTTGCTTCCAGAAACACTATGAACCTGGAGCGAGGATGAAAGGCACCCAAGCGTCAAGGACTCTCCTTCATAGGGTCGCTATGAGTCGCCTGTGACTCAGCGGCATTTAACAACAACAACACTACAATTCTAAATTGGGTTTGGGGGGCGGTCTCAGGTTATCATGGGGGCCTGGAAGCTGCTGACTCATTATTATAAATAGGTACAATAGTATCAAACCAAAGAAGTACTTTTAGTAAGAAAGGATTAGGATTAGAGGTCTAATAGCTGGTACTGTCTGCCATTCCTACCTGGCTCAATACAGGTAAAAACAGCTACACATAGCTAAGAACAGATGTTCAGAAGATACTGGTTTCCATACATTTTGTAATATTTTTTTTTCCTTCCAATATTGATTTCTTTATCTGGCTCCATGAAGGTGTCTCAGCCTTTCCAGAAATCACCCTGGTACCTCACAGCTTGCCGGTGTAAAGTTTATCCATTCCACAGCTCTGTGGTCATCGAAGTGTGGCCTCTTTGACCTCATCTTGGGGTTTCACGTTGTTAGATGTACCCACAGGGTTTCTGTACCTATACAAATAGAAGCACATCTTCAACCCCATCTAGTGACAGATTCCTTTTCTCATTCGTTAGAGGTTATCTCAGATACATATGCTGATTCTGTTACTTTGTTGATTGTAATACCCAGTGTCTTTCAGCTAGAGTTTCTCCTTTCTCAAATAGTTAAAGTAAATAAAACTTTTTATACGTTAGTCTGAGGAGATGATATTTGTCCTATTCTGTCACACACCCCACTTTTTATTCCCCGCCCCCCCAGCATAGTTTGAAAGGTCAAATTAGCCCTTTCTATTAAGGCTTGTCCTTGGAGATGTTAATGAATACCAGTAATATGTTGAATGTTCTGTTGTTGTTATGTGCCGTCGAGTCGTTTGCGACTCATAGCGACCCTATGCACAACAGCCCTAAACCCTGCTCTATCCTGTGCCAACCGCACCGCCTCTGATACTCCCATCCCAGTTACCCCAGTCACCGAATCAATCCACCTCATAGAGGGCCTTCCCCTCCTGCGCTGTCCCTCCACCCTCCCAAGCATGACGTCCC